TTCGCCAAATTTGTATAAAGCAATTTCTTCTAAGTTGAAACTAGTTATTAATTTAGTTTAAATTATTTTGAGGTACTTTTAGTTAATTTTATCCCTATATAAATTTGAAAATTATTTAATAATTGCAAATTTTTAATAATAAAGTCGAGAATTTTAGGCATATATTAATTAATATTGTAAAAGGTACTTTTTTAAAGTGAAAAACCGAAAGAAAAAGAAGAGTTAAATAAAATTTTTCGTACAAATTTCTTACATTACCCCACCCCAATCTTGAATCATTTGAATTTCATTAGAATTAAAAACAAAAAAAAATGAATGTGTATTTTTAAGTTCTCATACTATGAAATATGAGAAATATGAACTTTAATATGTTGTTCATAGAAAAATATGAACAACATATTAAAGAAATTATTTAAACAAAGTCCTTAAAAAGTATTTAAAAAAATCATCAAAAGAAAGAAAAGAAAAAAGAACGCGAAAAAATACAAAATAATTTTTAAAATAATTTTTTTTGCTCAAGCAAATTCTACAAATAAAAATTTAGATACGAATTATATTCTAAGTTAAAAGGAATGAGAGGCATTTATTTCGAATAAACAGTTTTTAAAATAACGGGTCAAATAAATCCATTATGTAAAAAATAAGTATTTACATTTTTAAAAATGTTTTAAAATGGAAAGACTACTATATAATCATATCACAACATCAAATCATTTCTCGATTTGATATTTTATTGTGGATTGGTCATATAATTATAATTTTTTTCATTAGATGTTAGGTTTATTTGTTTCAACAAATAAAATCTAAAAAAAAAATCAAGAATCAATGTATCTATATTTGCTAACTGAAGTTCACTTAGCAAATATTTAAAATAAGTGAATTCTCACTTATTTTAAATAATTTAAAAACTAAAATCTCTTAAATTCCTGAACAATACTTAACTTTATAAAGAAAATATTTTTTAATTTAATAATTCATTAAAATATCACTATTTTATGAAATAATTAAAAAAAAACATTAATCTATCGTTCTTTAACGCATGTAATAAAACTTATACCAAAAAACATTTATTTAACCAAATTTATATGCTTATTATTATTTTCTTTAAGGATTATAATATTACTCAACATTAAAAACTATTCAAGAATTTTGGCATTTCAACACAAAAGTTTATTTTCAAGATTTTTTTTCTTCTTTTCTTTTTAATTAAATCATTAAAGTTTTTAATATTTTTATCAAAATCATGTACTTAAAATGCTCTTCTTAATAAGGAAGTATTTAAAGAAATTAATTTAATATTTTGCTCTTCTTCTTAAAGGATTTCATTTGTGCTTAATGTTTGAACATGTTGCGCAGAAGTAACGAATACGTTGAAAAAGAAACAATTTCAATTTAGTCGTAGAAGATTAATAAGGAAAATTTCTCTTTCAAAATCTTAGAGCGTAAAGTACTAAAGTAAATGTTCTAAGATCTGAAACAAATTAGAAACCTGGGGTCTTATTATGTAATGCGATCTTCTTGAAACGATTGAAAATGCGATTTTCTTGAAACGTATCCGGAAAAATTATAAGGTAGTACCAATCAATTTCTATAAAACGATCACCAATCAATAGTACCTTACAATTTAGTTGATAATCGTTTCACAAAAATCGAATTACATTGTCAGGCCCGTAAATTTTTTCCTGTTAAAAGTAAAATAGTTCGACCTATATCGAGAAAAAAAGAATTTTCGAAAATTCTTGAAAATGCTTGTTACATATCTGATTTTCTACAAGAATAATTTTGATCATAAAAACAATTTCATTTAAATGACTCCTATCGATATTTAATGATATTTGTGGACCACATTTTAATTTCTCACTTTGTGCCCATACACACTCACATGAAATAGGTGTACTGGTACAGTAAATGTATTACAGGGATTCGTTTTCAACATTTTTGTGTAATTTACTTTTATAATTTTGATTAAGGGATTTACTATTTTTTTTTCATTTACATGCAAAAAATCTTCACATATACCCTGGCATTCACACGTACGTTTTACTTTATTCTGTCGCGTTTCTAAAGGAATTTCTTTTCTTAATTTTGAGCGCACCTTTACATTTTTCTTAGAAAACTGAATTTTTTTTTTCTAAAAAGGAAGCTCTCTGTTTCAATGTTGGCTGTTTTTTTTTCGTACTTTTTGCTTTTAACTTCGTTTACTCTTTAATTTGTTGAAAAGGATATGTTTAAAGAATATTCCATTTTTTTCTTCATATTTTATAATAATACTATGACAATATTATTTTTGTTAAGATATGGATGTTGCACGAGAAATTTTTAGGGAAAAAAATGTTTTATAATGAAATGAAAATTTTTCTAAATCTTTATCTTATTGTTTACTTTTTTTTTACCTCCTTGTTTACTTGTTCTCAAAAAATAAAAAGAATATTTACCTACATTTCTTGTTTACTTACAAAGTGAAAATTTAATTAATTAGTAATTAAAATGTATAAAAATGTTGAAAGTACACGTAATGCTAATAACATGAAAAGTATTCAATGGATCATCGAAAAATTGTGTATTGCAATAATTTATCTGTAATCAAATATATTCTGTTTATGCGTCTCAATAAGTTCCAAAGACACTTTAAATTCGTTTTTGTTGCAAAAGACACTCTCAATTTGATTAAAAAAAAATAAATTACATTTTTCCATTCAAATAGTTGTGTCTATTTAGTTTTCAAACTGTGATGCCTTGAAATACAGTATTGAGGTATTCTTAGTTCTTTTATATCTTGTGCTGATTATCAAAATTGACCATCATAATTTAAAACTAACATTAATATGATGAAAATGGCGATATCGAAATAAAATCTAATTTTCAAATTAATATTTTTAAATATTCTAAATACCAAAAGCATTTAATTATTATTAGACTTTTAAAATAGCTCTATTAGGTAAAAGATACGCAAAAATTATAGAAAATTTATTGAAACTCAGCAGAAATTCTAATTAAAGTTTATACCTATATAATAGTGAAAATAATTCTCATTTCATGATACAGGTACTACTATTTAACACAATCTACATATTTTAAATTTGATAGATTATTTTCTAATTTCATTTATGCTCTGTAATTTATATAAATGAATTCGAATATCTTAAACACATTTATTACAATTACACTTATGTAATATTATATAAAATCTTAATTTGTATGTGTTCCTACTTCTTCATTTATTTATATTATTGGTTATATAACCACATTTACGTATGTGTGTACAATTATAAATTACGTGTATTTAATTTATTCATAATAAACCCAACAATATTGTATATAAGTTTCATTTAAATATTACAATGCGTCTTCTATAATTTATATTTTGTTAATTATAGCATACTATTCATAATAGTTTATATGTAAATAAATATATATAAATCATTAAAATCTGAATAAAGGAATTTATTGAAAACTCCCATCTCATTGTCATTCTATTAGGAATTCTTTAATCCCGTATAATTTTCTATTTTCTGCTTTGTAATAAACCTTTATACAAATATTTTATCATATTTAAAAACAGCAATCCCTTCTATAACGTAACATCTACTACATAATTTCGATATAATATGTAAATTTCATTTTTCCTACCTATTTTCATTTAATATTTTTACCCTGTTTAACGTGTTTTTCTTTCACCAAAAAAAAATTCTCATTCGCTTATTCGCACATATAAACTGTCATTAACTACATATTTTCTTTGACTCACAACAACACTGTCGATTATCTGTAATTTTTCTTACATGTCAGTAAATCATTGTAAATATTTTGCATGTCAATTTACTTTTCTTGATGCGTAATTTATGATTTCTATACTTCATGTGTTGTTTGTGCTTGATAATAAAATCTTTTAATATGCAATTGTCTAATATTTTTTTAATTTGAGCTTATTTTTATCAACATAAAATTTACTAATTTAGACAAATAAGTTTTGCTGGACAATAAGACAAATAAGTTTTATCTACATAAAATTTACTAGTTTAGACAAATAAGTTTATAATGTAAATTCACTTAACGTAACAATTTTACAATTTTTCGGCTCAAAAAATTTAAACGTTAAGCAAGGGATTGTTGTATATAAACTAAAAATAAAAATATTATTCTATATACCTATTTGTCTCTTTTATTTATTCATATTACATAAATTATTCTATAAGTATTCATGTTACATACAAACAAATATACCTAAATACTATTTTAAATCAAGATAAATGATGTTTCACAATATTTATTATCTTTTCAGGATTTTCAGATATCACAATATAAAAAGAAAATAAAAAAATAAATAAAAATAATATAGACTTAACCTACCTATATGACAAAAACAAAAAAAAAGAGAAAAGACTTATAAATTAAGGAGGAAAAAAACAAAACGTTCAACACAGAATAGTTGTTGAAGAATCGTGGGAATTCATTTGAAACTATTAAATTCAGGTGAAATAACATTTTGTATATTTTTTTCTTTGTGTAAATTATGTATTAGTATAAAATGATATTATGTGAACCTATGCACATACAAGTATGTATTATGTATTTTTTTTATTAATCACGACAAATTCAGCAAATTAGAGTAAATCTGAAAAGAAAAAATACCAATGCAATCCTTCTGGGTATTTGTAGAAATAATAAATTTAGTTTTGATATAGACAATTCTATAATGTCATGATTTTTACTAGATTATTTTATAAGATTGCGGTTCTGTTCTTATTGTGAAAGAAATTTCGAACTTTTATAGTGTTTGTGTTCAGAAATGGCGTTTAGGAATGGAGTTATAGAAAACTTTACTTAAAGAAAAAGAGAAAAGATATGAGGAAACAAAGGAAATTTTTCAAAAAATCCAGATGCATATATGCATTCCTGATGATTAGGTCAGACAAAAACATGTAATGTTTTCAAAACACTTGCTATACAAAGTCAATTAAAGTTATAAAAGCCAATTAACGACTGTAGTTTTATGTTACCTTAAGTTGTTCCATATTGATGTATAATTGATTGTTCTATTTTGATGAAGATTAAGTTTCGTAAACATGAGTTACAACTGACTGAAGAAAATAATATGATGTGATTCATTTATATGATAAGTAAATTTCATTCCGATAAACTTTCATCCCCAAAATTTTTGGCATCGCGACCACTAAAATGAAAATAAATTTTAACAAAATATTTATACGTTGTAACTTATTAAAATAATGAAGGGGCATAAATGTTATCCTCCACAATTTTATCATAACTATATAACTGTGATAATAACATAAGAAAAGGAATTAATATGTTCAATTACAAAACTTTTTTTAGTCAAGACTATGTAATAAGACAGTCGCAGTACTACGGAATATTAACGATAAGTAAAAAGAAAAATTTAACAAACAATTAATTAATTTTAAAAACAAAATGAAAAATACTTTTAATGAAAAAGATTTATGAACTTCAAAATTTCAATATCCTTAGAAAAAAAATCTCGATATTTGGAAAATCATAAGAACACTCCTTATTACTAAAACATTGCAAATGTAAGGTACATATACATATTTATTTATAAGTTTGTATTGTTGAAGTAGAAAAAATTGGCAATTAGTATCAAATTAAATTACATAAAACTGATGATTATTAATTGTTATTTTCATTAAAATTTTAAAATTCTTATAAGGTTGAAGTGATTTTAAGAGGAAATAGATAAATTAATTATTGCTCATTCAGGATTATTACAATATTCTTCTTCTCTATTAATTTTATTTTCTTTTTGAAATTTTTTTTTGACTAATGACAATGGTGACGTTGACTTATGTATATTTTGCTTTTTCTTTGCTTTATTTGTTTTTTTGAAAATTTTACACGAAATTACTTAAAATTAATGTTTGGTAATAAAATTCCGAAAACAAAATTTTTATTTAAAATCTGCTTTTATGAAAAATAAAGATTAAGGTTTGTTTGTGATAAGATAGTGATTGATTCTTACTTGTATTGTGTTGTAAATTTCAGTTTCGGGCATTGAAATTACACAAGATATTTTAATGTATTTTAACAGTTACAACACTTTAAAAAATTAATATGATGAATTTTTATTGCAAAGTCCGTGTCCAGCTATAATTTACTTGTAGTGTTAATCCTCAAATTGATTGTATACCTAAAATTAAAAGAAAAGTTTAGATTAGCACTCAATTTTCTAAATCAACTCATTTGATAATTAAAAATCTTTTCTCTTATTTAGTATATTTGTATATTGCTAATTTTATTGTACGAATAATAATATATAAAAGTTTATAACATAATTACGGAATAACAAATTTTAATTAATAACGAGAGCTTCAAAATAGACTTCTTAATCAATTACTTCAGCTTCTACTAATTTATTTAAGAAAAGAATTAAATATTAAATAACCTCCAATGGAACTGCACATGCATTATAAATCACGTTATCATTCATTTTACAAATTCTATTGTGTTTGATATAAAAGAATAGTAAAATCTCATTTTAGCCAAATACTTCAAAAAAAAATTCTTTCATTCGTAGTATATATACAGTTAAACTTAAATATAATATAAAATCCTTTTAATACTTCTTAATAAATTTAATATTATTATGAAGTGGATAAAGAATAGGATTAACAAGACAATGTCCTTTTAATGTTTTTTAATTTGTTGATCCGTACAAGTAATAAACGAAATGTTAAACATTATACGTGTTTGTGTGTTATTGAAAAAAAAATAATTGTGTCTTTCCTTTAAATTTATTATGATTGTCCGTTTTTTGTTTCTTTTTTTTCTTGTTAAGTTAAAATCCTTTTGCATTTTCACTTAGATTTTCAATTTATTTTCTCTTCTTCTAATTAATTTTCAATACAAAAAAAAAAAAAAAAAACAAAAATATTTATTTTTTTTAACGATAAATTATCCTTCGGGATTAAAACCTATATCAATGACACAAAGTAAAACAAATCCTGTTGAATTTTATTTTATTCGGTTTTTATATTTTCATTATATCCTTACTCGAAATTTATAAAAGTTTCATACATATATGGGCATCTAATTTAATTGTTAATAATTAGGATACAAAAATCCAAAATCAAAAAAAAAAAAAAATTAAAGTATCGTAAATTATCTTCAATTAATACGATAATTCTTATTTTATTATTAGATTATAATATACTTAAATATTATATATATAAATAGTTTGGATGTGGAGACTAATTATTTTTTACAAGAAAATAGAAAAAAAATATATTGAAAAAAAAATTACTTATTTAACTATTTAGCCTTCCCTTGTTCTAAAACGTATAGAAATTTATTTAGAATTTGTTTGATATATTTGGGTACATAGATGTTAGTTATAATTTAATAATAAACGAATATTCTTATTTACTATTATATGCGTGTAAACAGTAAATAAATTTGTAATTCAACTGTGCTATATACATATGTGAATTAATATAAAATTAAAAGGAATGTTTAAATCTCTCTACATTCTAATCTTAAATGAAAAGATGAATAACTTTTTCGTATTATCTTAAATATTAATACTGTAGATATAGGATTATTAAATTATAAGAACCGTTACGGTAGTAAACAATCTGAAATAATTTATATTATAAAAAAAAACTAAATAAATAAGAAGACCGTAAGTTATACAATAATAAATTATAATTTTATTTTTGTATTATCTTGTAAAATTTATTTTCATTAGTTTGTCACCGACGATAGATTGAAACTTTTGTATAAAACTAATTGTGTCTATGTTCTCTTTATAACTGTTTGAATACTTTTTAGAAAGATCACAATATTCAATAGCTGAATTGTATAAATTCAACATTTTTGATCATCGAAGAATAGAATTTAACCGTAACAATGTAAACATTAAAATTGTTACGGCTTGAAAAATATTAAAATTCTGTTGTAAATGAACGTAAATGCAGGAACAATTCCTGTTTTATCAAAAAAATTAATGCGAGTATTAGAATATTTTGATGCATGGAATTTTCCAAAGTTTTAATACTAATTTTGAAAGTAGTAAATTTTAAGCCATTAAAATAAAATATTTTCATAATTTTTCTTAAAAATTGTTTAATTTTATTTAAAGCTGAAAAAAACTTCGTCTCAAAAATTTGCAAATTTTATTAGAAACAGAAATTTTAAATTAAAAAATATTAAATGCTTTATAATTTCAATTTAATTTTTTTTAATTTTGCAATTATTTTGGTTAACGTTACGTAAAATTTCAATTTAATTTTTTCACTTTTTATGATTAATCAATTTTTTTTATTTCCTTTAAATTTTGGTTTTTTATAAAAAAAATTTTCACTGTAAAAAATAATAAAATTTATTTGCGAAACTTATTCCCCCTATTTTTCATATAATTATTGTAAAATTATGGAAAATTTTTTTAAGTGGAATAAATTATATAATTAACACAAGTATTATTCTTAAGTACCATTATTTAATTTGCGCATTTTTAACAGAAAATCATATCCGTGTATAAATATGTGTTTTTTATATTAATATAGGTCAGACAAAATATTATTAAATGTTAAATTGAATAATAAATTTAAATTTTTGGTATGATACAATTTACATATAGCTTATGTATGTATATATGTTATGTTTATATATTGATGCATTATATTATTAATGAAGAAAATATTAATGAGATTTATTTAATGAAGATTACTTGTTACGTAAAAAAAGTTAAAGCAAATTTATTGAATTGAGTTAACGAACGTATTTGACCGGACATTTTTAATAATATTTATCGGTGTACTTGACAAATTTTGAAAAATAGATATCTTTTGAAGCAGTACTCGGTGTTAAAAATGATTAGAATGACTAGAATAACTAGAATGACTGATATCGGACCTTGAATAAGACAAAAATGAACAACAATTTTACTAGAAACCATGAAACGTGTTTGCCACTAGTGAAGTAAGTTGTTATTCCACCCATTCTTTAACCGAAGAGTCTCTCGTTCAAAGCACGATCAGGTCAACATACAAAATTATATTTAATAATACATAGCTTAATATACATAACATATAAAATATAGTGATGAATTGAGAAAATATTTTATATAAAAATTGCGAAGTGTTCTAGAAACGTACTTTCCAAGTACCATCTTTCCATAATCAAGAATTGCTATTACAATGGCTTGACTCTTACAATCTCTATTTTTAATATTAAAAACAATTTAGTTTTAAATTGTCAACCAGTCATTACAAATTAAAATATTTTTATAAATTTTCATTTAAAAATCTTTTTTCGTTGCACTTGTTTGTTTACAAAAGAATAATTTTTTTATATTATTTTATATTTATAAATTCAATCCCAATGGCAAAATATTTCATTTAATCAAAAGAATACAAAAATTTTCATTTAAATATTACTCTTATACAACCTGACACTTAAAATATTTATACAGTACATGAAGGACAAAATATTGAATCGGCATACCATACTTAAAATATTACTATAATTTCATAATGACTTTAAATACAGTTATTTATTAACATTATATAATTATATACTATGTTTATCGTTTAGAAACATATTTGAATAAGTTTGTTTTTTTCAAAAACACTTGTGTATGTACTTATGTATTACGCTTTTATATGAAGTGAATATGGATGTGTGCAGGTTTTATTATGTACTCGTATTAAGGGGTGAGAAAAAAAGCTCATCCAAAAAATTTCTTGATTTCATTTTGCTTTATTTTGTTGTGACCTGGCATGATTTTGCAGAATATTTATAAAGTTTAAGGTTGGATTCGTATAAGAACATATCAGAGAAATATTTTGCTACTACTCTTCGCAAAATATTAATATTTACTATTTTATATATTTACTACATTTTAATATGATTAATATTAGTCGTTTTTGTTGAAAATTATTACAATGTTACAATTGATTGAACAGAATAAGTATAACACTTTAAGATTCTACTGGTATGGCAAAATATAATAATATTAGACGCATAAAGAATATACATTTAATAAATAATGATATTTTACTCAATCACACAAACTTGTACGAATGTACATATGTAATATCACTTATACAAATTTGTTTGATTGACCTATAAATATATATATATATTTCAGTTTATATATACATATATACATACAATAAGTATCATGTTAAATAATAGGTCACATCATTATAAAAAAATCCTAGTAAATGCAGCTTGGATGTTAAACAGCATGGAAAAATGAAAACGATGCAAAATTTTTTTTAGTCACATTACAAAATCGATAAAAAATGGCCAACGAAAATCATTTTGTTTGATATACATATATTTTTTCAGAAAAAAAAAATTAAAAGTAACAAAAACTAAAAATACACATTAGAGGTCAACAATATTCTATAAACTGATTGAAAACATTAACAATTGGTTATCAAAGAGGTCATTTATTTTTATATTTTTTATGTTCAGTAAGTTGTTAATTTTGATTTTATGCAGCGTAAGATTTATATGACCAAATGGGAATTACTAGGTCGGATCGATATATGAGTATAATTTTAAAAGATTCGTGACATAATAAAATTATAAATTGCTTTTAATTTTATTTTTGAATTATTTTTGATGTAGATAAAAAAAATATTGATTACAATGTATGAAAGAAATGAGCTCAAAATAAATAAATTGAATTTTTTCTTTTTTGTGAAGAAATATGAAAATTTTAATCTTAAGACCCAAAAAAAGGCAATTATTATTAAAATACCACTTAAAAAAATTATGTGTATGTACTTTGTTTTGCATTTTCGTTTCGTTATATTAATAAATAAAATTACTCTCTTTCAGAATACTAAATTTTTCTGAAACCAAATGTAACATAAAAATATATTTCATAGTAGCACCATAAATGCAAAATATTTATACGAAGGCCTAAAATGTCATATTTTAAAAATTTAAAAACTTAAAAGTAAATATTTTAATTTTTTTATATTGTTGCCAGATCATGTACCTTTATTTTCATAAGGGATAAAACGTGATACTAATTCCCTATATGTAAAAGAATAGAAAAAGTGAACCTAAATTATTGTATTCTATTTAAGCTCCTATCATTTCCCTATATTTTTATGTTACACATAATTATCGTCACAATAAGGACTACTTTCTACACACAATCAAGAAAAATAA